TCTTTCAAATTGTAAATTAATTTTTTTAGTTGAGAGTTTCATAATCAATATGTACATCAAATAACGTCATATTTTTCGAAAACAACTCATTGAGTTAGTAACCTTAGTTTCTGAACTGTTTCTGTACATTTTTTGTTCAAACGGATATTGGGTGTCCTGATCGGCAAACTGTTTTTATTCTTTATGTGACTTGTGCTCAAAATACATTTTTTAGTACCGGACACAGAGTATCCTGATACGCTTGATATATCTACCTTCTACTTCCTAGCAGTTTTTGTTCAATTGACATTTCCTTGTAGTTTATATCAGATGGAGAAATAGTTTATATCGATTTTCATGACGTCGATGATTTTGAATATGCACCACGAATAACCAAAACAACATACTTAAGTCTTGCAATGTTGGTTGATACAAAAACGTCATGCCATTTGGTAATCTGTAATATGTTTCTTGAAGGTTGTAGCGAGGGACAACTGAAAAATAGGTGTTCAAATGTTTCGCATTCTAAATTACAATAGAAACATTCGGGGGCATTCTCGAGAAATAAAAACCACCGCTTTTCTCGATCTTTAAAAACAGCGTATGCAAATTTATAAAGAAAGTTTTTTTCCCATACATCAAGCATTGAATTTTTCCAAACTTTGCCTGTAAATTTAATCAATTCTTCTTCTGAACAAAGGTAACGGTTTGCTGCAAAACTTCAGCGGGAAATCGCAGCTCGATGAAAACTACAGTTTTGTAAGCAGAAATAATAAATTTTGTCTGTATTGTTATAATTAAACGGCAATTGGTACTGTTTGAAAATATTGCAAAATCACTTGAACTTATTTCAATAGAGATGTTCGTATTTCTCAACAAATGTTTGAATTCTTTCGGTAAAAACAACTCTGTTGGTAATAAACTATTTTGATCTGACATATCAGAAGCAAAGAAATCGATAATTTTCATACTAAAAAGTTTAAGTTGTAGGCATGGTAAGCCGATCCCACCATCTAAGATGGGGTGATATTAAACTTCTTTTCTTATGTCGAGTCTGCTTGATTTTTTCAATTCTGTATTTAATAATTCTTGGCATTTACTAACAGTATCCAAGTTAACTGTAGTATGACGAGCCAAATGAAAAAACTTAGGGAGAACATAAACTGACAGTGTTAATGATTTGGCCCTCAATGATTTACTTAGTGAAATTAACCCGCGATGTTTTCGAATTTGAGAACTCAATAATAGTTCAATATTTTCAACTTTTTGGGAAGTGTAACCAAGACACCAAGTATTTTTTGTTTCCTTGACTGTTTTATAGGGTGATAAATCAGGTATGGAAAGCACTTCACTTTTACTTATGTTAATCATCATTTGAGTTTGTTTGCAAAATGTATCGATTAAGCAAAACAACCTGTCAATACATCGGATTTTGATAAGGCAAGTTATGTCGTCTGCATATGAAACTAGTTTGGGGCACAATATCTCGAAACCTTCAATTGCTTCTGTAGATTCAATTGCTTGAAGAAGGGATTCGATAAAAACTTTGAATAAAAATGCGGAAAGAGGGCAACGTTGTCTCACACCGCGATGGATTTTGAAGCTGGCTGATAAAAAACCGTTTATCTCAATTACTGCTTTTGAGTCTAAATACAAAGTTTCAATAGGTGTAACTGAAAACTCATCAAGATTTAACCCATTCAAAATTTTGATGAGAAGTGATCTGTCAACTCTGTCAAATGCTTTAGAAAAGTCTAATTTTACAGCACATGAACCTCGGGTAGCCAATCGTTCTGGAGTAATCGCTTTTTTCAACTTTCGTATTGCTGTGTGCATTTGTCTTCCAGGCAAATACGCGTGCTGATGGTTTTTTACAACTTTGCAAAGATCTTTTTTAATTCGATTACAGACTACATGGGCAAAGATTTTTGCGTCAGTATTCATAAGGCTGATGGGGAGAAAATCTTGTACTGCTATGGTATTTTCAGATTTCGGGAGCAGTTTGATTATTGCTAAATAAAAACTGTTTGGAAGTTTTCCACCATGAACAAAATGATTAAAAATTTTAGCTAAAATTGAACAAAACTCATCCGTGAAAGTCTTATATAGCTTAGAAGTGAGGCCGTGTGGTCCAGGTGAGCTTTTCAAATTCAATTTGTTTATAGCCAAGTGAATTTCATCTTCTGTAAAGTAATTATAGCCATCATTCTCATTTTTTTCGAGTTTATTTTTTAATTAAAAGGTCGTTAGTAGTTGATCGGAGTCTGTTGTAGAACAATTTGAAAAGATATTTGAAAAAAAACTTTCGAAATTGATTAAGAATATCCTCATCCGTATGATAAACGTTCTGATCCACTTGAATTCGCTTGATTGAGTTAATTGTGTTCTTTGATGTCCATTGACTACAAAATTTGGGCACACCCTCGAATGTATAACTGAGAGTTTTCTGAATTTTTCGATAATCTGAAAAATCTTTTTCCTTGGAAATTTTTTGAAGATGTTCCAGCACCAAATGATATTTTTCAATCAAATTAGGGTTCGGACCTTTTCCGCTGTGATTACAATCTCTGAGAACATTTTCGTGATATTTCAATAAATTTAGTTCTTTCTGATCTACTCGCTTTTTGTTCTCTTGAATAAACCTCAGGAGGTCACGAAATTGTGCTTAAAGTTTTCGTAATTACTTGGTGATTCATTTTCGTGAAAGTTTTTTTAGATCTTCACGAATTAAGCTGGCGTTGTTGTTTAAAATTTCATCATTTAATTTCCAGTAACTAGGGCCGCGCTGATACAAGTTAGATGGCTTAACAAAAACGTGTAAGAGCAAATGATCAGAAATTGATATTTGAATGCTTTGCATAGAGTCATACTCTGTTAAGAATTTTATAAAAACATAATCTATGCGTGCAAAAGTTTTATGTTGTTTGTCATAATGTGTATAATCACAAAAATCATTCTTGAGTGCAAAATCAACAAAACCAAAACAATCAAGAATTTTTTCTTTGAGTTGGGTAAATCGTTTGATACGCGCATCATTTAACTTAATTATTGAAGAACTGTTAATATTATCATAACTCAGCGCATTAAAGTCACCCATCATGATAATTTTTGATTTATTAGGTAAAATCTGATGCTTAATTTCAGGGAATTCAAAGTTGCTCGGAATGAAATTGGGTTCGCATAAACATTGATAACAAACCAATCAAGTTTGACAAACTTTAACAATTGAAAACCGGTACTTGAAGCAACTCTTTTGCAGGACTCAAGTTTGATGACCATAACGTTAAGAAACTACCAGAATTATTTGAGCCCGGTATGAAATCGAATAAAACATTATATTTATCCAGTAAACTCAAATGTATATTTGTAAGTTTCGATATTTTTGCTTCCTGAATGCACAAAATGAAACTGGGCGATTTTTTTAAAACTTGGCATTTTTTGATAAGTGAGTGTAATTTAGCTGGATTTCCTATGCTAAAAATATTAACGGAAAAAATATCTGGTTTTTCGCACATAGAAATTTTGCTAAAACTTTCCTCCAACCAAGTCTTCTCCGTTATTTTTAGATTTCATTTTTGGCCCTTTCTTCCGTGTTAAAACTGACCAAGAGGTTGGTGAAGTTTCACGCTCTCTTTTTGTAAGCATTCTTCCGTCAGAGGAACATTTTCGTTTGTTATTTTCGATATTTAAATTGTCTTTTTTTTCTTTTGCAGAGTAAGAACGAAAATCTACGACCTGATTGTTGAGAACCTCATCCTTTTGTTTTTCTTCGCTTGGAGTTGCTGCACTGTTTGTTTTAGATTCATCAATCAAAACTCTAGATGGTGGTGCTTCAACATTCTTATCTTCTTCATTTTCGGTACCATTACAAAACTTATCGCTTGTTGTTTCGTCATGGTTTTTCTCGTCGCTGGCATTATTGGAGCTTGGTTTTTGTGGGTAGTGATTATTTGGATTATTGGTTATTTGGTTCCCTATGTTGCACCAATCATCATGATGATCTTTTTCTTGGCGTCCAGACATCTTGCATTTTTGACATTCATGTAGTGAAGGTATTTCTACACCTTCCCACATTTTGAAGCCATCCATTCTCGATTTGTAAGACCAGTCCTTCAGCTTTTTCTCTTGTTCTTCGTTTTGTATTTTAACTTCTCAAATTGCTCTTCCTGTGTAAACATACTGACCCGGTTCAGTTACGATACAGGTCTCACGTTGGAATATGGGGCTATGAATTATGTCTTCTGGCAATTGGAGAATTAATTTCGCTTCGATATCGTTGCATACATAAGGCAAGTTCGACAATTTGATTTTTGCTAGTTTAGGGTAAATGTTCTTGGGTCTATGAGACCTTGGAAAGCATCCAATGGGAAATACCGTCCTGTTAAGTAGAATGATTCCTTCGCTTTTGATGCTAGTAATGAATGGCTCCGCTTCGGGGGGAGCAATAACTGTCAGTGTATGAAGTTTGCGATCATCTTTCGTCACAGTTATTGTTTTTGAGATTGTCATCTTCTGTTGCATTGTTGTGGGGAATTGTTTAAGTATATCGGAAGCACAACTTCGATATGCCTGAGCCAGATTTTCAGCTGACTTTACTATTTCTCTCGAGAATGGGGGGATGATTTTGATTATTTGGATTTGTTTTGTTTCTGTCGTCGATTTGTTTGCTGTTAGCGCATTTCTGAAATTTGTCTCCGTTTCAATCAGCACTTCGTGAGTAATTGCTGGCTGAGATTCCGTCAGTTGTTGTTGACTCATGACTTGGTTTTACTCGATGGGGGGCAAAAAAAGCCTTCACCCGGAGATATACTTGAAAAAAAATTAGATTTTTCTCTTTCAAAATGTAGAAATCAGAAGGCAAAAACATCAACTACATTGCACGTTTTGACATTATTTTGATATGTTTCGCTTCTTGATTTTTCATAATAATTTTTCGTTTTGACATGCGCGGTCAAATTAACGCTTTTCGCCACCAATGCCGTACAAGTAATGTCTAGACACAAAAAACATATGAACGTAAGGGCAAATATGTCTTTACTCTTTCAGAAAATTGATAATCGAACAGTCAGAATAATAGAGACTTGTTAATTTGTTATTTTTCCGAACTAAGCTAACTTGATGAGCGCTCTTTTTACCCGAAAAACTTCGCAGGTAATGTTTTGCTTAAGAATAACTAAATTTTTTTGATCTTTGAAAAAAATGTTGTGTGATTCCAGATGTTCTCATGCTGAAATGCGAAACCAATAATTGTTCGGCCGCGAATAGTCTTGAATCTGGAATTGCTTCTTTAAGCGCGAGGAGTCCGTATTCTAGCAGCATACATTCGCCTAACAGCAACAGCAGACCGAACAATTTGATGAATCTGGGAAATGGGTTTTTCGCGAACTCAGCCAGTCAATTGCAAAGACCGCAGCCACCGCCTCTGTTAGGACCAGCTATAGGAAATATGCAAATACCAGTGTCAGGAATTTTGAACAACAGCAACATTTTGAAAACATCCCTTCTCAATACACCAAGCTCTGAAAATAATGCAATTGATTTGCCTGGATCTTGTGTACCAACAAAAGACTGCGAGACAATTGCTGCTCTGGATCTATGGCAGGAGTTCTGTAGAATAAACAACCTTGATGGTAGAAAACCGCAGCGAAGACGACGCCAGGCTTGTCAGAAAATAGAATCTGGTGGAAAATGCAAGATATGCAGCGATACAGCCACGGGATTCCATTACGACGTGTTATCCTGTGAAGGATGCAAAGGTAAGCTTTTTGTGCACCGTTAGGTTTTAGTTGTGAAGCTGGTACTACTATGATAGGCAAATCCCTAGTAAAATCTACTATGATAGACTGGTGCGGAGTAGGCAATTACACTGATGTCGCATGCAATAAATGAGATCTAAATCGTGCATGATTTATGCTTTTTAAATATCTCGCGACACAATGAATTAGAAAGTTTTTGATGCGGAGACTTGTAATTTTCGTACTGGTTATTTGAAGCAAATGGCTGGTCTCAACTTATTTTATGAATTTGAAATCATCGGTCGGGTTAATTTATTAATAATCTGGATCGAGTTAACATCCTCCCCCCCAAATAGACCAAGTTAAGATCCTCCACCCCAGCGCTGAATTTAAATTAAATTTGTTAAGCGCTGCATGTAAAATGCTCGATTCCGATTGACTGAGAATTCCCAACGTAGCGGGGAGGATGTTAACTTGGTCCAATAATCTAAGTTATATTTGTTAATTTTTATCTTGTACGGTGAGATGAGAGTGTTCTCGAATGATTCGCTGAAAAAACACAGTATGTTTGAAAATATACTAAGGCAAGTTCTTGAATCATAACTATCTAATTAATGAACAATTTGGGAGCTGAAGACGTATTTTTTTACAAGGGTCCGGCTTAATTTCAGCGACCCCTCTGTCAGAGTAGTACCGAAAAGCTTATTTCGAAAGTGTTATTTTTTCTAAAACCTCGTTTATTTGGAGGCAGGCCTCAAAAATTTACATATGGTCACATAATAAAGACTGTCCGAGAAATTATTTCATAAGTATAGTAGTTTTCAAAAATATGATTAATTCTACTTCACTTTCTTCGAGAAGATTTCAAAAGCCTTGTTGGGGCTATTCTATCAATTCAAGTTTCTAACAGGGCTCCCTAAAATGGCGATACAAAGGCCTCAGTGTGGTACAGATTGACGCGAGTTGCAAACATGTGATTTCAAATTGCTGCTAATACTTAGCTGAATAGACCTCTCAGCAAAGTTTCTGTCTTTGTTTTTGACCAGAACATGAAGTACTAAAAAGTTACATTATTAATTCGATAACAGTAGGCAAAAAGGGATTTTGTTTACGGGTTTGTTTTGCGTTAAAAAGGGTTTTCAATTTTCTTTTTTTTTATCGCGATAGTCAAGCAGAAACTAGCCGTAGATTGAACTGCTCTAAAAACTTGGAAATTGTCCATATATTAAAACATTTTTTGGGTTATTACAAAAGGCACAGATAAGTTAGTTTCGAGTAGTTTTTTAAATGAATGCCTGAAAGTTTTTAGTTGTGTATTTTTTTAATTCCTTACCGTCTGTTATGCGTTATGCTTCTTAACGAAGTTTTTGCGGATTTTTTTGGAAAGATTTCGACTTATGGACACAATTTAACGTTTTGTTTTTTTTCGATGTAAATTCTTTTTAGTTGTTTTATGTGAAGTTGATCTTGTTGTTGATCTCATTTGTTTCCGCCTATCTATGATGTTTTATTGTGGTTTTCGTCTGAGTTCGCTTCTGCTTGTGATTGTATTTTTTGAAATTTCCAAACAAAGTTTGCTTATTGTTCTAATAAAGTGGAAAGGATTTTTCGGGTGTGTTTTTAAGAGTTGATGAACGTAGTTTAGACTATAGGTCGTGATGAATTTTTTTCAGAAGTTTTTAGAATTTTTCAGTCTCAATTTTTGTTTTGGGGGTTTGATTTTCGATTTTATTTTAAGTTCATTTTAGTTCCTTGGTTAAAAGAACGCAAATTATCGAACAGCAAAAGTGTAAAGGTCACGGAAAATGCGATCGACTTGTAGTTTCGAAAATGGATTTTAGTTTTCAGATTTCACAGCGGAATAAAAGTTTATCTATTGATCCAGTTTTCTCAAATTGGGTTAATTTTATAAAAAATAGTGTCTATCATAAATTGTTCGTGAAATTCAAATAGTTTTCAGGCCATATATTGTTTTCTTCGAAAGTTGAAGTTATTCAAAAGACAAATCAATATTTTTTATGTTTCCTTGCGCTCATGACTCTTTTCGAACAGTCTGTTGGCCATGTTTCATTATTTCCAAATGTTCTTTAGCTAGGAGATTTTTCAGTTTTCGGACTTTTGTTCGTTTGCTTATTTTCAATTGTCTTAGTTTCCCCAGCATAGAATTTTCTGATTTAAGCAATTTTAACTATATTTGAAAATCTTTAGGATTTGTTTCTGTTATTGTGCAGATGAATGATTTCGATAAAGCTATTAGAAAACATCAAAGTTTGACGCGTTTCGATTTTATTATCATCATCAGAACTGAAAATCAAAAAAGGAACTGATTATAAATACAGACACTAAACAATGACAGAAACAAGTTACTAGCTGATATACATCAGAACATAGAAACAAGAAAAGCTCCGCCTAATTTATTTTGTAAATTTTTTTAAAGAATTTATTAATTCAATTCATAGAGCTACAATTTTTTATATTTGTTTACACAAGCAATGATTGTGCTATAGTATGAACTATCTTTTTTTCCAACCTAAGTCGCAAAAACTGTTGCCGCAAATATTGTTGCGATAAAATGTGTTCATTTTGAAAGTGTTCATTTTGATCAATAACCAGCTATTAAGTGCAGCCAATGCTAAGGATTTTAACACAGACTATTATTTTTCCGACTTTCGTAACGAAAGTAACGGAATATTTGTGCTCGGGGTGGTTTTTTTCTTCAGACAAATTTCGAATTTTTAACTAGAGATTTTTTTATCATTCAAAAAGTATTGTTGTCCTGGTCTTTCATTTGGAAAGATAGTTCACCTGTGATTATTTTTCGTAAAGTTATGGGAGTTTAAAAAATTGACAATTTGGGACAATTATCGCGGGATATATTTCGCGCTATTATCGCGTAAGCGGAGATTTAATCCGTCATAGAAATCGTTCCAAATTGGTTGAAGGAAGCTCATTTGCCATAATTGATTTGTTACTAGGAGCAAAATTTATCTCTTTATACTTAATATGGCGTGTGGGAGATGATTTTCACAAAAAAATCTATAATTAAAAAAGTTCATTTTATTTTCATTAAATTTAATTTTTTCATGTTATTACTGCTCCATAGACTGCTCTATAAATTGAGGCTTTTTTTCAGATTTACTGGTACTGCCAATGCGTCATAATTGGCATGCGTCTTTAAAGGAATTTTGAAGACTTAAGGTTTCACTCATTCAGTTTTTCCCAGTAGCGTTATCGGTCATCTTTTTGCTTGTGTATGCGAAGCTCAACTTTGCCTCTGTGTTTTATTTTGCTCTCAATCTCAAAAAGCAATGATGCCTAATGCCTAGAATCATCTAAATTTTATGATTAATTTTATAACAAAATTTTGAGAAAAAATGGGCCACGCTTTTCAATCAGACAAAAAAAAATACTTTTTTCAATCAGCGTGAAATTGGGCCGCTTTAACTGTAGAGGTTCGTCAACTAGATTTAATTTTGGTGAGGAAGTGTCGGCGCCAAAAGTCTGAATCTGATGTAATATCACAGCCGTTCTTACTACACAGTTTTGGGGAATAACCCTGTATATTGTAGCACGGTGTGCTTTTACTCGGAATAAATAGGCCGTAGTTTTCATTTAAGGTCTGTTGTCCGGAGTATATGTTCTCCTCAGAAACCACGCATTGAAGCGATAAGATTAATTTTTGTCAATGAAAAGCAGCTTTAGAAAACCTCCTTACTGGAAAGCGGGACTCATTACAAATTTTAAAGAACTATAGGAAAAGCTAATTAGATTATTGAACGAAGCATAATGACATTTTTAGGAGTAAAATTAGGCTCGTTCCTCGGTAGGCTATATGGTCTAGCTACTTAATCGTATGCCGAAAGAAGTATTAATTGGTATATCTATTTGATCGTTTCCCAGTTAAGTATTTAGTTAAGTTGGTTAAGTTAGCAGATGGCGAAAGAAATCGAGATGCAATAGATGTTAATTTAATTGTAATGTGGCTGGATGAGTTTTCACCAAGTTTTGAGGTCAATATGAGCGCTTGGATTTGTTGCGAACCTTACTCATGTATACATTCTATCGAGGTTGAATAACCCAGTTATTCGAATTACAATGCGTCCCGATTGTAAGGTTGTAAAAATCGATGGAAATCAAGTATTTCACTTAAAGAAAAAAAATGGGGCTGTCCTGTCGGTTCTTTACAGCCAAATTTTGAAACGGAATGTGAGAAATTCAGTGATGTTTTTTCCTTGATGCTGAATATTCAGGAACACTGGAACCCCTTAGAAATGACACGGCCTATAGTCAACATCAAGAGACACTGGTACTGTATTTTTATAGCTTTTTTTTCGTTTGTTAGATTTGTGTTTGGGCAAAGTATCAATGAGCGAGGTGAAGTCACTTACTTAGGCCGTGTGTGTTTTTTCGAAGATGTCTTGAAATTTGTTCACTTTTTTATTATTTTTCCGCAGTTTGAAGTTCTATTCAAATTTATTTGCCAAATGAAAAGGAAAATGAGGTAAATTTTAACAGAAGTGCGTACGATGCAAAAAAAAAATGTGATTGACTTATTGTTTCAAAAGGTATTTTAATTTTTAGATTTCCCAACGCAATAAAAATAAACTATTGATCCATTTCCTGAAATTTACTCCATTGAATTCACAAAATTTCTATCATAAAAGATTCTTGAAGTCAAAAGAGCACTATTGTGTTTGTTGAAAGTTTTAGCTGAAAGTTTTAAAAAGGCCATCTTTTTCTATTACATTGTGGTATTGATAGTTTTCCATATCTGTTGGATATGTTTATTATCTGCAGTTGATTTGTTATCCGCAAAAATCACCATATCATCAGGTTTTCTTTTACTCGGCATTATTTAAACCACGCCATTAAAAATACCAAACATTTTTTAATTTTCTTTTTTTTTCAAAATAGCAAACGTTTCTTTTCAACTGATTAGCTGTTGTCTCATTCTCTAGCTCATTCATCGTGGTTGTCTAAGCACGTAACGGCTAATAACGTTTGTCCAAACCGAACACATTGAATACGTCAACATTAGAAAACTTAAAAATGACACTTTTAATAAAACAAGACGATTTTTCTTCAGCCATATCTCACGAAGTTCTTCATGTTTGAGCCAACAGCTTAAAACAGAAATTCCGAAAGACTTGTTGTTTTCTTTGTACTTACTGTGTATGGTTTTTCTGTCTTTGCTGGTATAAAATTTAAAAATAAACACCGAGCAAAGCACTTGGATGAACGAATCATTTTATCATTAGTCCGACGGTCGAATCATTTTATGATCGAATTTGTTGAACCATGTTATAAAACATGTTATATCCTTGAGCTTTTTTTGAATAGAAACTTTTTCGAGTTTGAGGCGGCATTATACACGCCCAGAAAATAAACCGAACAAAAAATGTGCTTCTTAATAACGGGCTTAACAGCTATTACTATAAATCGAAAAGATTAACAGCTTTTCAACGTCTCTGATATTTTTTTCTGTAATGTTTTCAGGCTTCTTCCGCAGGAGTGTCACAAGCAACACTTTGAACAGGTGTGCGAGCAGGGCAGCGAGTGGGGTCAAGTGCGACATCAACATCTTCTACAGACGCAAGTGCCAGGAGTGTCGCTTCCTCTCCTGCCTAGAGGCTGGCATGCGACCCGCAAGTGAGTATAAAGTAGCACTAGAAACTAATACTAGAAAAGGAAATTCGAATGTCCACTGGCGAAGGGTAGTATTATATTATGAGGTCGCCTTTTGCTCTAATCTAAAGAGTTTTGCAATGGCGAGATTGGTGTGATTTATCAAATGGAGAATATGAACATTTGGGCTGAGTTGTCGAATTGTTCAAGTCCCAATCAGTGCTATATATAAGAGTAACAGCCATCTGCAGCTTGCTCGAACTACACACACAACCATCTGTCATCATTGTATGGGGCTAAATTTTCCTTAAGATCGAATCCCTTTAGATGTTACAGAATTTCCTTTCAAGAGAAATCTTTCATTGTTGATTTTGTTTGGTCTCCTTTTAGTTTATTGTTATTTTCAACTCTGTTTGCTATGTTTTTACAATAATTTCCGATCCTTCTCGATGTATTGTCCGACTACTCTCGTGTGTGTGAAGCATTCCTGACCTAACCGGTCATGATTGGAAGGGTCACAGTGTCATCCGCCTCCTCAAGATGGGACCGGCTGCGGCAAAATAAATGTCATCTCCCCCCCCCCCCATGAAATGAAAGGTCCAAGGTTGAAAGGTGGGAGTAGTTTGGGCGGGGGTTAATAAAAAAATGGGTTTTCTGCGCGATTTCAAGCACCTCAAAAGTGGGCCAATTGTGAAGATACTTATTCGAGTTTTTCTCTCGTGATACGGATTGAAGATTTTTCAAAAAAGCTCTCACAGCGGCTGGCTTAAGTTTTGTTCAGTTTTCATTAGGATAAGTTTGGATCTTCTATAGAAGCAACAAACATATCTGTTCTGAATAGTTCAATTCCGTTATTGGTTGTAATGTTTTCTATTGAAGTTATTAATCGGCATGGACAAAAAATCGTTCCCTCTTTTGACGTAAATGGACAAAGCCGTAGGTTAAATTCCCGTTAACTGCTTTTATATTTTTGCTTCTATAATTAAAAATTGAATCGTAGTGGTTTCATAGAAAAAAAATTTGGCGCAATAGAAAATTAAGTTTTCTGGTCAAGTGCTAAAATTGATTATTCCTTGGTGAAGGGGAACTTTTTAAAGTAATCCTTGTACAAAAATCGTCGAGTTGAAAAGAGTTCAGTTGCGACATCGTTATGACAAATGATTTTTTGCCGGTGCTTAATTGGATGTAAAACTTGTCAATAAGAAAGACGACATTCTGCCAATTATTTTCGGTAACAAATTAGATGTTATTTTTTGCTGCTGAAATATAAAGGTGAATTTTTTGTGGTAAGATAACAGCTAAATTACATGTATATTATTAAATAGTTCTAGTCTAACTAAAAAGTGTAATAAAATGGTTTGCGGCCCACAGTTAGACCTCTTGTTCGTTTTTTTTCTGACGAGTTTGAAATTAAAAAGAACCAAATTAGAGCTAAAAAGAACCATTTTGTTGAGAATTTTCAGCACCGTTCAATATTTCAAACAAAGGTTGTCTCAGTATTTAAGCTGGAAGGAACAAAATAACAACTCGTTCTTTTCCTCTGGTATTACAGGTTTATATTACCTTTACAGGCAAAACTATTCTTTTTCCTAAAAAAAATCATTATTTCGGAAAGCTATGAAACACCCGTTCAGTTTTATACTGAAAACAAAACAAAGTTTCTGTTTCTATTTTGATTGAGTTTTAATTTTGAAGAAAACTGAAATGTGAAAGTTAAAATTTTAAATGGACATCAATACATCCACTTAAATCTGTATTTTACGATGTTTGATTGAAAATCGAAATTGACATCAGAATATATAATCGATGCTTAAAAGAAGAAGACATTTTAATCTATATTCTGATGGACTCTGAAGCTATTCATGTGTATTTTTTACTCAACATTCTTTTAAGGTTATCAGAGAATAAGATAGCCAAATTAGGATATTCCGTGTTTACATAAGCTAACAATGTTTTTTGGCCAGCTTGTGGATGAAGAAGATACAATTTTTTCATCTACAAGGAAATTAAATATTGCTGACATCTTAGATAGTTGTCTGTTTTTAAGCACGCTGAAAGGAATGCGTGCATAAAAATTAGACTGAAAAATGACCGTCTTTGCTGTTTTGAAACTGAGATATGAATTATAGAGGCTCTGGTGCGAGCTTGAATTAGAAAATTTAGGTTTTTTCGGATGGCCAGTATTTGCGGAAGGAGCCAGCCAACATATCTTAGCTGAGAAGATAAAAGGGATAAATTGATGAAAAATTCAGCGGCCGGTGTCCCAATTGTAAAACCGTAAAGTGTAGGAAGGGAAATGAGAATGACATGCTAGGAACACCATCCATAAATTGTTTATTAAGGTCTGGAAATTTTAAAGACCACTCTTTGTAGTTTAAGCGGAATATATCGAGCCAAGTCATGCAAGCAATGAAGAGTCGCCTAGCAGAAGACTAAGATTCTTTGAGTTGTGTTTCTGAGAGTAGCTCGAAATATATTATGCTAGCCGAAAATGGGAACTTTTAGGAAACTGAAAATGCAGCTCTGATTTACCGTCTTTGTGGTAGTATGTGGAGTTTGGACCGACCGACTAGCCTGGTTGAGCAATAAATTGAATGCTGATGGATGATTTAGTTTGCTTTAAAAATACTTTGATGCAGAGTCATGTCCTGTTTCACTTGAAGTCTCGGCTGGAGTGTTAATGAATGACATTTAATTACAAATAATTTCTAGAGAGTATTCTAGGATACTCCTGTCGAGTTATAGTCAAAAAAAGTTTACAGAAAATCTTCGTATATTAATGAGAGCTCAGGCATTTCGATAGGTTAAGCCACAGGTTTTTTTTTGTGGTCAGAACATAGCTGCCGTTTACCTTTTTTCTTTTTTCACATCACGTTTCTCTTGAAAAAAAAAACCATTGAAAAAAATTCTTGAAATAAAATTGTCATTTTCTTGGTTTCTTTGTCGTTTTACACTATTTCAAAACAATTTTTGATATATCAAATCGGACTGTTTTCACCAAAACGGGTTCTTCATAACATTTTTGATCAGAGTAAGGAGTTTTTGCTCTTTGCGAGTTTTTATCAACACAATTTGAAAGTGCTTAATAGCGACTCAATTTTAACGCTAATTTCGTTTTTCTCTTAAATTTTTCATTTTAGTGATTGCTAACTAGTGATTTTTTGTTATATCAATTGACCTATTTAAGTTATATATGTCACATCACATTTCTGATACAAAATAAAAGTTAATGATGGCTACGCTTTGTAGTACAGATTTCAGAGAAAAATTACCACCCCAAAGTTCTAGGATTGGTCTCATCTCTAAATAAGGAGACGTTAAATTTCAGGTCAAGGGAATAGTTCATTCAATTTGAAAATGGTGAAAATCGGTCGTTAGTTTGAGATTAAAGTTAAGTGACAGCCATTCTTTGCATGCAAATGGTTACTTGAAGTTCAAATATCTAAGGCCAATTTTATTATTAAAATCATGTTTCAAGTTCTTTTTTATGCTGTGCAATTTTAAACATAGCGAATTCAAGTCATTTTTTCAGGGCCTCAATTTCGGATTGAAAATTTAAGAAAAAACTTTTTATGGGGTCAATTTTAGTAAGTTCTTTTCAGCATTAATTTGAAGCTAAAATAAAAGCTAGACATTTGGTGTGGTGTTAAAATTTGGTCTCTCCTTTTTAAGTATTGTTGAGGAAGCACGTCGCATTTTTGGCTGGACATTGAGTAAGGTGTTCCGGCGTAAAATTGGGTTGATCACAATTATAGCATCTTCTAGAACCACCCCCTCTCATCTCCGCTCGTCCTCTGAACGATCCACGGCCGCGCTGTCTATTGTTTCTGTATCCTCCTCGGATTGTTCCCACCGGTTCCGTTTTGATCTGAAACGCTCCATTTCCACCGGTGGTGCCACTAGTTGTTGCTCCCCCGGTTGCCGATCCGTATGACTTAGCATATTTGTATCCACGTTCATATGACAGTGCAATAAGGTACACCTCCTCTGGTGTCTTCGTCGAGCGGCATAACTCATTTTGGGCCTCCCTATTGTTCATGTTTACAATGAACACATCCCGCAGAATTCTGGTCTCCAACGTTCCAAAATTACATCGGGCGGCCAGCCCGCTTAACACTGAGTGGAACTGCTCCAAGGATTCTCCTATTTGTTGCTTCCGTGCCAATAATTGGAATGTTTCGTAAGTTTCATTCAGTTCCTTTTTAAATTCCGTTTCGATGGTATCTAATACTCTAGAGTACCTTGTCGTAGATAAATCCAGATGTGGTTTCCTCTTATGTAGCTCGTCTTGTCCTTTCTCCCCCAGACACAAATACAAGTTGGAGATAAGTGTTTGCTCCGACGCCAGGCGATTCTTTCCGTCTACCTCCTACGGTAGTGCTGTAACCTGCGCTGTGGTTAACGTACTGGCATAATAAAAGTTATTCGGATTTAGACCATGTTTTGCCACCATCCCCCATTGAAAACGATTAAACCAAAACTCCCATAGCATTGGTGGCTCTGCGAACGTCGAGGACCAAAACGATTTAATCCCTAGTGGGTTTTTTTCCCCGCTTTGGCCTGCTTGCTGCGCCATGTGAAAATACGGTTTCGATAGTTCAAATTTATCCAGTGAGATAAGTAACCGTATGTTAGAAAGTTAGTCGGAGACAATCAATTGGCGGTCATCCAAAGGTGACCGACAAACTCCGAAGGTTAAATACCAGTTAGCGCCAGACAGATAAATAAATTAAGTAGCACAACTAGAAATGGAACATGAACTAAATTTAGATACTATGACAGTTTTTAAAAGATAACGCAAATATACGAGTTAACAGGTAAAGTTTTAAATCATGATGCAAAGTTTCAAAGCTGAGCAACACAACGATAAATCTATTGTCACTCTTTCTATGAAGAAACTGTTTATTTTTTTCTGGCTCGATTTTCCATTTAAGAGGTTTCGGTGATGATTTCTTTGATTTTTCTAATTCATTTTCCAAGTGGACGGATGAATCAAAATGGCTCTAAAGTGGATCTCGACTTTG